TGGATGAATTCCCGGGAATCCCGGATGCTTTTCCCAGATTTTAACGGAGCTTTGGGAATTTCAGGTCTCCAATAAGGAGGAATTTTTGGGGAAAGTTGTTTTTTTGGGAATTTTGCCTCCGGTGTGGTTTTGTAGGATTTGGATTTTTCCTATTCCCAAAGAATTCCTGGATAAACTCAGAGTTCTGGGATAGGGATCGGGATCAGCTCGGATTGAGGATTTTGGAATTCTTTTCCCACCTCAACGATCCCGGAATTCCGTGAATTCCAAGCCTGGGCGAGAAATGAAATCGGGATTTGTGGATCCCGAGGGTTCCGGAGCTCCAGATCCGTCGGAACCGCTGGAATTGCCGCTGGAAAATTGGGAATGTGGGGTTGGATGATCCGGAACGTTGTGTGGATCCGTGATATCCCGCGACGGTTTCCATGGAAAAGTGGGAATGATGCGGAGGGGTGGGATCGTGGAGCTGGGAAAAGCTGGGAAAACTTGGAAAAACCTGGGAAAAGCTGGGAAAATCGGGGAAAAGCTGGGGGAAAATGGGAAAAGCTGGGAAACCTGGGAAAACCTTGGAAAAACCTTAGGAAACTTGGGAAAACCTGGGAGAACTTGGGAAAATTTGGAGAAACCTGGGAAAATCTGGGAAAACCTGGGAAAACTTGGAAAACCTGGAGAAACCTGAAGAAACCTGGGAAAATCTGGGAAAAAATGGGGAAACTTGGGAAAACCTGGAAAAACTTGGAAGAAGCTTGGGAAACCTAGGAAAATCTGGGAGAAAGCTGGGAAAATCTGGGAAAACCTGGGAAAATCTGGGAAAATCTGGAGAAACCTCAGAACAGCTGGGAAAACTTGGGAAATCTTGGGGAAACCTTGGGAAAACCTGGGAAAACCTGGGAAAAAATGGGGAAAACTGGGAAAAACCTTAGAAAACTTGGAGAAACTTGGGAAAACCTGGGAGAATTTGGGAAAATCTGGGAAAAAATGGGGAAACCTGGGAAAAGCTGAAAAAACTTGGGAAAACCTGGGGAAAACCTTGGGAAAACCTTGGAAAATGTGGGAAAACCTGGGAGAACTCGGGAAAAAATGGAGAAACCTGGGAAAACTTGGAAAAATCTTGGGAAACCTGGGAAAATTCTGGAGAAACCTGGGAAAAGTTGGAAAAACTTGGGAAAATGTGGGAAAACCTGGGAAAAAATGGGGAAAAACTTGGAAAAACCTTAGAAAACTTGGAGAAACTTGGGAAAAGGAAAAACCTTAGAAAACTTGGAGAAACTTGGGAAAACCAGGGGAAACCTGGAAGAACTTGGGAAAACCTAGGAAAATCTGGGAAAAACTGGGAAAACTTGGGAAAAACTTGGGAAACATGGAGAAACTTGGGAAAACCTGGGAAAAAATGGGGAAACTTGGGAAAACCTTGGAAAATCTGGGAAAAACTGAAAAACCTTGGAAAACCTGGAGAAACAATGGGGAAATGTGGGGAAATTGGGGAAAAATGGGGAAACCTGAGAAAACCTGGGGAAAACCTTGGAAAAACCTTGGAAAACCTGGAGAAACTTGGGAAAACCTGGAAGAATTTGGGAAAATCTGGGAAAATCTGGGAAAAAATGGGGAAACCTGGGAAAAGCTGGGAAAAAATGGGGAAACTTGGGAAAACCTTTGAAAATCGGGGAAAACTTGGGAAAAGCTGGGAAAATCTGGGAAAACCTGGGAAAATCTGGAGAAACCTCAAAAAGCTGGGAAAACTTGGAAAAACCAGGGAGAACTTGGGAAAACCTTGGAAAACCTGGGAAAAAATGGAAAAACCTGGGAAAACTTGGAAAAAGCTTGGGAAACCTGGGAAAACCTTGGAAAATCTGGAGAAACCTGGGAAAAGCTGGGAAAACTTGAGAAATCTTGGGAAAACCTTGGGAAAACCTTGGGAAAACCTGGAGAAACTTGGGAAATCCTGGGGAAAACTTGGGAAAACATTGGAAAACCTGGGAAAAGCAGGAAGTTTCTGCTGGAAGAGCGCAGGGCTGGGCTGGGAATTTGCTTTGCCATCCAAAAATTGGGAATTTTTCCCGGGATTGATTTGGAACGGATCCCTCAATCCCAACCCGGCTCCGCCTTTTCCTCCCACCGAAAGGAATCCAAGGAATTCCCGGGCTGGGAATATCTGAAGGATTCGGGATAACGTTTGTTGTAAAATAGGGAAATTTGGGAATGGTTCATTTTCCGGAAGTTGGAGTCTCCCTGAATCCCAAAAAATCCCAAATCCCATCCGGCCCTCCCTCATTTTCCCCCATTCCCACGATTCCTTCCACAGGGAACACTGAGAATTCCCAGTTCCTCAGTTTCCCTTTGGAATTCCCAATGGGAACATCCCGATTTTTTTTCATTTTTCCCCCAAAAATCCTGGGAAAACCATGGGAATTCCTCCTTTCCCACGACCCCCAACCCCCATTCCCAATTTCCCCTCCCGATTCCCGTTTTTCCGTGCCATTCCAGAAGTGTCTGCGGCTGAACCCCGACGTTCCGGTGTGGGTGTCCAAGCAGCGCGTGCTGTGCGCGCTCAGCCACAGCCTCACGGACGTGCTCAACTACGGCCTCTTCCAGCCGCCCTTCAACGGCCGCGCCGGGAAATT